TAATGGGTTAGTTTTGACACAAAGACACATTTAAATACAATAGCACAAGATTTATATTTACGAGTATTAAAAGTTCTCTCTACATATTGCATATGCGTATGAAGTTCTCAATTGGACAATGTCAAGTTCACTGAATCCGCTAAGCACCGAAGGTTGCAAATTTTGAACACCAAGCTCAATGAACTTCAAAGCAAACACCTCACAGTCTGAATTTGTCTGTTGCGGCACCAAAGGACGTTCAACACTCCATTTCGCGGTCATGTCTCTGTGGTCGCCAGGAATACCTTGAAGATAATTTGATGCGTATTGGCACATTACAGGAAAAATTGTGAGCATTTTTGGCAGTTCTTCTTCAAGTTTACTCATGCTTGTAATTCGTTGTAGGGAGTCAAACACCACCAGACACTTTCTATCGAATTCAGCTCTTATGGTGACCCAATGATCCTTTATGTTATGAACCCAATAAACACATGAAATATCCTTCCATGGTTTAGAGCATGAGTCCCATCTACCAAGAACTATTTCTGCGAGGCCGGTGTCCAGGATTGGAAATAGTTCAGTAGTGGCATTGACCTCACCTAACATTTGAAAGCTCTCTAGGAGGACGGCATATGTGCTATCTTTCTTGTTATACATTTTCATGAAGTAGATCATGATTTCTTCCATATGCTGCGTATGAAATAAAAATAAGTTGTTAAATTTATAATACTAAGTTATTTGTATATACGGAGTAATACTAATATTAACTTATATTACCGTGGTCTCCAACCAGCCGCCGGATTCCATCAAGGAACTCCACCACTTCTTAACAATACCGTGGGACTCTCTCCTCTTTTACATGATACACTGAACTTCTCTCCCATCAGCAATTGCTGACTGCATGAATTGATGGAAGGCCTCAAGTTGTTGGCTAGATGAGTTCCTTCGTTTGTTGAGTTGCTCTTCTTCGGCTTTATCCAGCTCATTTGATACATTACTATTAATAACCTTTACCTTTTTAAGTACATTGCTGAAGTAGGGGCTCGATATATGAATACTTCGTTTCTTCTCCCGGAGACCTCGACCCAATTCCTGGATGTTAAAAGTAATATGTCAAGGAAAAGTAAGTTTAATTCAATAATACTCAAATTAAACCATACCCGTGCAGCAGCGACTTCATCCACATCTGTCAGTTCTCTCAAGACGTCACCATCGGACTCAACTTTCTACTCAGAATTTATAAGGAATAAGCATTAGGCAAGATCACAAATGAAAATATCAGAATATAAGTTTATTACCTCATCAACATTGTTTTCAGTTGATTTACAGAATTCAAAAACATCATGGACAATTTTATCACTCATTGCCATCTCATCTTCATTGGCCTCTCCCTCAACTGCAAACTTTTCCTCTTCTTCTTCCTGACAATTGGAAACATAATGCTTTACTAAAGGTTCAAAACATAAGAACATACTTTGGCGACCATAAAAATCAACGAAACAAAAAAGATCGACGAATGGGGTCGACCAAGTTACCTGGATTGGTGGACACCTATTCTTTACTTTAAATTGGTCAACCTCTT